CAGAAAGCCAGTAAAGGACCAAGGAGTCTTAGTTAGCATGAAAAATAACATGTGACCAAAGAAATGCCTTTTTTCCTTAAAAGATTCTGCCCACACACAATTGGATCAAATGGTAGGATTGGTTTTCACTTAGAAGTTCCACCAGATTTCAGGTAGAATTAATCTTAGCTAAACAAGTAGCAGCATATCTTTCAGCATGAATAGTTTACATACTTATGCACACCCTAGTTTATTTTTCTTTCCAAGCAGGAATAAACTATACCAGAACAACGAATTACATTCAGCAACACAACTACTTCAAAAGCTTTCATTACTTCTACAAGGAAAGCAACACCATCCTTTAGCACTAGCATTTCTGAGTAAGTTACAATGTATGAAAAGATGTAGGAATAAGAAGCTTACTTCAAGAAATAAAAATTTGGGCCCCTACTTTTTATGTTTGTATTCATGCCACATTTGAAACCACCCCTCCGCATAAGTGGTTGCACGTTTGACATACATTCTGCAGCTGCTATCTTGAGAATCACAGGGACTTAAAACTCTTTCTTTTCCCATAAAGAAAAAAAGCCAAAAAACTAATAAAAAGAAGGAAAGTCACACAGCAATTCTGTAAATCCTTTTTATATCTGCCACCTTGCTCACACACCTTACAGATACTTACAGTTTGTCTAAACTATGTCTAAGCTACAGTGCAAGTAACTTTGGATAAACAGCACACCTGGCACGAAGCCCCTGGAACACCTTCAGCACTCTATGCTAGCAATTGTAATGCAATAGCCACCTTTTTCCTTCATTTTAAATTGTTCATTACCTTTCAGATTTGTTTTGCACTTTCTTTTCAGTTAAAGAGTACACCTCATCTAGCTGTCCAATTTATGATCTATTCTGGCTGGTTCAAAGAACAGCTTAAATAGACTCAAGCAAACCTAAGTATTAAAAGAAGATTCACCAAAGTATTTCATTACTGTCATAACGAATAGAGTGATGTCTCATGCCATTAAAGAGGGAGAATGACATAGGAAGAAGCAGAGTTAAATAAGGCTATGTATGAGATCACATCTGTATCCTATCTGAAGAGAGACACTACTGCTTTTGAATTATTTCTGAAGATTCAGGATGAGCCTGCCTTACTTAAGCCACATGTCACAGAATCTGCTTTCCCTCAAAATATTTGTGCAGATGGGTTAAAGAGCCACTTTCTACACTGGGATATTCTAATGATAGAAGTCATACATGAGCTTGCTGCCAAAAACAAAGAGGTGTTAGCAGCACCACTAGTTACGGCTGCCTTTGCCATAAAACAAACTATTATTCAAGGAACTTGATGTTACTATCTTAACTGTTTTTTCACTTTCCCTTAAGGTAGCACTAAGTCCCTAAGATGGAGGGAAATGCCACCATTGATAATTATCCATACTGCTGTGCAACTTACGTAACGCAACTTTAGGCAAAGGCTTTTTCAGCTGTGCAGACAAGACCTCCCTTTTAAACTCTAACATGTTTTTAAAAGCCTTTTAGGATATAGTAGGAACACACTTCCATTCTCAGATTTCTGCAGATTCACTTGCAAAGACAAACCTCTTTCAACCACGTATATTGAGTCTCGAGAGACCAAAAAGCTTTTTTTTTTATTTTTAATACACTTGAACGCTGATCAAGATAAGAGATTTTGTCTGGTGTTGCTACACACACTTAAACACCCAGAGACACCATTCTTTAATAATGCTTCAATATAATTTCTTCAAAAGATAGTGAGCACCCTTCTAGTATTCAATAGGTGTCAAGCAATCACTTTTAGTTCAAAGTCAAGTCTTAAGTATTTTAAGAGTTAAGGGCTCCCTTTATTCCTCCCCCACTCCCTTAAAGTTACACTGGAAATACAAGACTCATCGAGCCTCAAATTCACATCATTAGTTTATCCTCACATTCTTCATATAAATCTAGTCTTTGGGTAACTTCATAGATTTTGGAAAAAAATGTTTCTCTACATTAGCTGTTGTCACTCCAATTATGAAGTTAGCAACCACTGCTACAGAACGTTCCTCAAAGTCTTTCAAAGTCCTATTAAGTTGGTAGTGAATAAGCCAGGCATACCTTAACACAGTAACAGCTCAACAAGTTAATGAGTAACAGCAGCAGGTGGCAGACAAATAATACAATCAGTGAAGAAGTGAGGAAGATGAAAGCAGCAGCCCACAAAACTTAACAATCTAGTTTTACGCTGACGACATGCAAAAACTTTTTTCCAACTACAAGCAACATGGAGGGGTTTTGCCAGATTGTCAGTAAGCTCATCCCACAGGTTGAATACCAGTTCACTCAAGCCTCAATAAAAATTGACTATCACATGGAAAGTCTCACCTATAAAGTAGTGTTTGGTACAATCTGCCTCAAAGTAGTTCTGTGAGCAAAACTGTTTCTAATTAGAATTCAGACACCAGATACGTTGGCATAAATAAGTCTATACGGTAGAAGCAGTTAACTATAGAAATTTATGAGAAGAAAAACACTAAGATGAGGGAGAATACCTATAAAGTGTGGAACTCAAGTGTCCCGAAACATGCAGAGGTGAAAAAGCACAAAAGCCTACAAGGAAAGCAAGAACATCTGCTGGGAATCTTACAGGGCAAGGAATGTGAAGAGTTTAAACTCAGTATATTAGCATAAGAGATGCAGGGAATTGACACAGCAAAGACAAAAAACAGTTTTCACCTCTGTGGTATTCTTCCCTTTAAGAATGTAGAAATATTTTATACCAAAAGGCCAATGTGAAAACACAAGCCAACTGAGGGAGCACATGGGAAGGAACAAGGGAAAAAAGCAATAAAATGGAATAATCAGTCCATGGTAGAGCCAGTGACATAGACTGGCAGGAGTTCTCATTTTGCAGCCAGATGCTACACCTAATCCACTAAGGGAACCCATAGTTACCTAAATCTACATCACACACACCAGACACATTACTTACCTTTGAGTCCATCCTGCAAAGATTGACAATAAACTAGACAAAAGACTAACAGCAATCGTGGTATCTGCCTTCAGTCTTGCTCTTGCACATCCCAGTGACACATTACGTAACTTGGCACCAATAAAGGAACACAGAAAGCAATCAACCACCCAAGCAGGAACCAGTTGTATAAGTCCAAACCTATTCACGGATTGAAAGACAACAAGCTTCACACCTAAATCCCTCACAAACTCCTGCACCTGCATGATTTGAAGCAAAGAAAACATATCAGTCAGGGGATGATCCCCATTGGTAAAGTTCAAGAATTAAAGATAACATGAGAAGAAAAAGCAGACCTACAAACCTACTACCTTTTTTTCTTCAGTTATTCTGAATGAGTTTGAGAATTTGTAAAGACATTTCTGTTTGCTTCTCCCATGAGAAATGCAAGTTAATCCATTAAAAACAAAACAAACAAACAGCTGACCCATGCTATTTAAAACTCTGAGAATACAGAGCACTTGTCATGGTTGCAGTTCATTCCAGAACACGAACAGCACTGGAAGAAAAAATAACTATTGCTTCCTCAACCCCTGAGAGAGAGAAAGAAAAACAGTACAAGGAAAGAGACAGCTACAAAGCTTTTGCTTTTCATCATCATAGCTTTGCAACCAAGTACAGAGTTCCCAACTGACAAGACTGGGCATCTGAATTTTCTCTGATCCTCTTATAAAGCTTCTTAATACTTCTGTTGGCCCCCTAGCTGCCAGAAAACATTTTCAGTCTCACAGCTCATGACTGAAAGTTCTTGATTACTGCAAAATACTGGTCACAGAGGCAAGGGAATGCTTAAGTTCCCATCTTTCCTCCTGTGGTTGGTGAGTTTCCACCAGGTCATCATTTATCAGCCTAACTGAATGCACTAAAATTGAGTTTTTGAAGAGTTAGCATGGAGTAAGCCAAACTTGTCAGATTCCAACTATGCTTTATGCCTAGACCTGACCAAAGGTGCGCATGTTATCCTCATCTCCAGTCGCCACCCCAATAGGAACAGGCACAAAGATGAAACAAACCCAGGAGTAAAGATGACAAACCTGGTTGTAGAGCACATCACCTGGTCACACAGTCTCCGAATGACGTTATAGCCCTCCACTGTTACTTTGGACTCCATTTTTATACAAAACTGGAACTCTTTTAAGTTTTGTGATCTCACAGAATACAAACCTGACTACCCAAAACATAGAGCCTCATCCAAATACCGAATACAGAGAGATGGACTCTACATTCTAAGAGATAAGTCAAAGCAAATCAAAGTACCATAAGCAGTCATAGGCCTATCGGCTGGCTAGATGACAGCTTCTGCACACAGAGTTATCAGTGACCACCTGTAGCTTTTCAAACTACAAACAAGCCACCACATGAGATCCCTCATGCACCCCTGGAAGACCCCACATCTCCTCAGACCCCTCGCAGACCCCACACATCCCCTCGCAAACCCTCTCACAGACCCCAAACCCCTTCAGACCCCTCATGGAGCTACAAACAACCTAGGCATCACCAGCCTAGGCCACTTGCTCTTGGTTGTGTAGGAGTCCCATCAGAGTCCCTGATGGAAATTGCTGACTTCCAGTCCAGCTCAGAGAAATCTCCGTGTAATTTCACTTCAACCAGGCCTTCCCCTGGCAAGCTGCATGCCCCCAGTTTGCTCTCAGAGAGACACACTCCTCAGGCAGCGTGGCACAGACAGCATCATCCATTTGCCCCCATTTCACCCTGTAGAAGCCCACCCTGCCTGATGGGCAGAAGTCACCTCAGCCCCAGGAGCACAGCAGGCTCCATCCAAAGCAGAAGACCAGTGACCGCCACCAGCGAGCCCCTCAGCAGAAAGGCCTCCAGCACCAACCTTCACGCCAGGCAGCGCTCGCCACAGCCAACGTCCATCCCACCACCGGCGAGGGCACCCGGCCGCAGCCCCCACACCCCCTCAGGCAGCCCCCTCCCCACCACGGGCCAGCCCCGGGGAACGGGGCGGGAAGGCGAGGCGGCCTCTCACCTGGAGGAGCACCGCCAGCAGGACGCACAGGTACATCTGGTAGGGCCCCATCTGCCCCACCAGCGGGAACGCTTCCTCCACCTCCATCCCGCTCCCCGACCGGCCGCCGCCGAGCAGCGCATCCCCGGCTCGGGGCGGGGCGCGGAGCAACGGCCGGGCCCTCGCGGAGGAGGTGGAGGGACGGGCGGGAGGCGCCAGGCGGCGCTCATGCGCAGGCGCCGGGGAGAAGCGCCGGGAAGCGGCCCGCCTCCTTCCTTCGGCGCTCCGCCGGGGAAGCGGAAGACGCAGCGGCCGCCGCGTTGCCGTTAACAGGCGTCAGCGCATGCGCATCTTCCTGATTTAAAGGGAGGGAGGGAAGGGGTGCTGTGAGAGGTGCTTTGGG